CTGTGCTTTTGGTGTGTTTTATTTCTTTAGAATTTAAACATCATCATCTTGAGGTCTTTTTTTACAGGGTCAGGCGTGTTTCTTTGAGACTTTCTGTGCTGAGTGAAGCCTCAACCCTGCGGTACCTTCTAGGTTTACTTGTGTCAATAACTGCAGTGTCAAGGAGCAGAAACAGGCTTCCAGTGCCCGTGGGTTTTTTACCTACCAAGACCAGGCAGCCCAGAACGTTGCCACTCTTGGTTTCCAAACAGGCTACTTAAAACAGGCAGTGCCCACATTAAACCTGCTGCTCAGTGCAGGCTCACTTCACAGCCAGGTAGTTCTGCTCATTTTTCTTGAGTTTGTTTGCAGCAAAAAGAAAATGTCACTGCCTTCTAGTGCCACCAAGTGGACATCTTTCCTTGCCCATAAAAGCTTTCTTAAAATTATTTTTATTTCATCAGTTATGTTCAACTTCTGTGGATTTTTATTGCCAAGTGCTGCTTCTTCACATGCTGAAGTGTTTTCTTCAGAATCCAGTAAAATGTTTCAAACAGAACAGCATGTTTTAATTGCTCACCTAATGCTTTGTTGAAGAGTGCCATGTGACTGCACTGCAACCTGACATTCCTCATTCTCCAGGAGGATAATGCATACTTCCATGCTTTTCATACTTCCATGCTTCCAGGCTTTTCTGCCTTTGGTAATAACTTGACCTGGGAAAAACCAGCATGTGAAGCAGCAGTTGGAAACCCAGTGGTCTGTTTACCCCGCAATCCTTTTTCCTCTACCAGAGCCATGCAATGGGTTGTACAGAACGGCAGGAGAGCAGAGCAGGGTGGGCAGGTAGTTAACAGGATGAACACAGTTCTGATTTGAAAGGGAGTTTTCCTTGTGTGCTGTATTAGACCACTCATCAAATCTTATGCACACTAGAGCCTGACCTGAACATTTGGAAACCACTGGAATGGAGCCAGGTCCAAAGACAAGCCTAGGACATGTGAACTGTTCAGATAAGTCTCTACAGGTCAGACTGCAGGATAGAAACATCCTCACCTTCCTATTTTATTTTTTTTTCATCTTGGTAGGAGCACACATTTATTTACTGTTTGCCTGATCCCCTTCCAAAACAAAACACTAATCTTGACTATTTTAAGATACCTAATTGCAATGAGAACCAAAATTCCATTTGAACTGTAAGTATTTCAAGGCAAATGCCTTGAATATCCTTGAAAATAAATATGCATGTCAAAATATCACTCAAGACATGCAGCTGAACTAGGTAATCTTAAAGCAAAGATTCTCCTGGTAAACTCCATTCCCCACTTCTATTTCAGGTTTTATTCCAGACAAGCTGTGTCCTCATTTCTGTATGAATGTTCCAAGTTTATTTCATGTTACATTCTTACTGAATGTCCGAACACCATCCTGGAGACCATGGATTCTGAGGAAGCAGCAATTTTCCCTGCCCAGAGCACCTTTACTTCAGGCAGCAGGAAAGAAGAACTCTTCCAATCTCCTTGGACTAACTGAGGCAGAATTGCAAGAACAGTTTGTAAGAGGTGATGGCCCAGGAGGTCAAGCCACAAATAAGACAAACAACTGTGTTGTCTTGAAGCACATCCCATCTGGGATTGTAGTGAAGGTAACTACATTTTATTTTCTTTAAGTCACAAATTGCATCATCTCTTCCAAGTCTCCTTTCATAGCAGTTATAACTCAGTGCAAATGTCAGGGATGAAAAGTTTACATGTACTGTAAAGAATCTCTGCAAGAAGATAGTTTCAGCTCTCAATACATAATCAGCTTGGGGTCTCAGCTGACCTTCTGCCTTTGCCATGCAGAAGTTTTATAGTTGTCAGTAAAATGTTTCAGTTGTAGCTGCCTCCCCCTGGCAGCCCTCACATTCTAAGTTAGTTAGAATCTCTCCTGATCATTCTCATGTTGCAGATTGATTTTAAGCTTTACTCTCATCTATTTCTTGTGGATTCATACTCTGAAATTAATCTTTGCTTCCTTATCACAAGAGGAAGACACAGCTAAGTTAAACTTAAATGAAACTTTGTAAGGAAATATGGAAGCAATCTTGTTCACTGACAGAATTAAAGGACTAAAGCCAGTCTGACAAGTTACAGTTGCAAATCATTATTAGGCAGCCTCTCCAAAATGTATCACCTCGATAGGAAAGCCCCAGCAGTTCATGGTAGGAGGATGCTTGTGGCTTGAGGGAGAGAGTTTTTTACTCTGATGGCAGGAATATGTAGGCTGAAAGGGAAAGCTGAAGAATACAAAAAAATCCAGTAAAAAATGTCCTATTGTGTTTTTTCAGTGTCATCAAACAAGATCAGTGGAGCAGAACCGAAAGATAGCCAGAGACATCCTGCAGGAAAAAGTTGACCTCTTCTATAAAGGTGAAGACAGTGACGTTTTTAAAGAGAAGAAAGCATCAGAGAAGAAGAAGCAAGAGAAAAAGAGAAGAGCAAAAGAAAACCTAGAAAGGAAAAGGCATTTTAAAGAGATGCAACAATTGGATAAGAAATGAACATGTGAAATACTGACCTGCCCTAGCAGGGTAAGGGAAGCATTTGTCACTACACCTAAGCACACTTTTCAAACCAACAGACAATGGAGCTCTTCAAAAGCACAACTGAAATACTGATCTATGAGCTGCTGTTGCTGTAAAACCCAAGTGATAAAAGCAGGCATGTAGTCCTACTTCTGTCTGCCATCATCTTATTCATCACGCTTGGCAATCAGTTTTTCAGGTGACAAACCAATCCTAGTTAAAAAGGAATCATGAACTTTCCATCATTGTTAATGGACACAAAAAAAATAAATCAATAGCTCTCCTACAGCCCAGATACCTTGTGATTTTTGGTAGGAGTTCCAATACATATGGAGAACAGCCCTAAAAAGTTGTATCTTTTCCTCCCTACTCAGGCAATGCCTCTACTGACACAAATCCTTTACGCACAGTGACCAGGTAAACAGACATCCTGGTAGAGGAACACTAGTTGTCTCCTTCAGATCTGTTAGCTGAATAGATCCTGTCCTACAATGCTCTGTCCTGCTTGATTCTGAATGGAGTTCCAACAGAAGCTTTTCAAGTCTTACCTGGAAGGAAGGTCCTACAAGTGGAGGCTGCTCAGTCATCTTTTCCAGTTCAAACGTAAAATTGAGATCAAGGACACACGTTGGAACCTGCCTCCCAGGGCAACAGAATCCAGTTCACCCAGGCTGTGAATCTTTGCTTCTTCCTGTATTCAAGTATCCATAGCTCCATATGTATTCAATATCCCCATTATCCCATCTTCCTTAGGATTTAGATTGGATTGTACAGTAGTAAACTACAGCCACTTACTGTGTTTATGCTGAGCTACAGTTATGCTTGAGCCTTTTGATATCTTCACTTTGACACTTTCCCCCTTCATGCCAACACAGGCAGCTGCTTTTCCTTTGATACTGTAACTTTGGAGCCACTAATAAAGAACACTTTCCCTTTTAAATTCCTGTTAAGGACTCTTAATTACTTACCCAGAACTTCTCTTTAATTTTTGGACAACCACTCAGTATTTTGAAAGCAACGGAGACTACAAGCAACTACAACTGCAGGCCTGTTCCCTGGTCTGTCCCTGAACTTGAGCCTCTTGCATGAAGTTAAACCTTTATCTGCTGAGAGCTCTTGATCTTTGAGTACAAATCTGATTTAAATTACTGTCCATAGTTTTAATACAAATTGTTAATGAAAATAAGCTTTATTACGTCAAGTAATAAATACATACAAAGATGCAAATAACAGTTTTAGTAATTTATCCAGAATTTTCTTTTTTTTTTTTTCTTTTTTTTTCCTTTTTTTTTGGCAAACTTTAAACTGAAATCTCCAGCCTTAATGTAGAAATTAGCTTTCCAGGACCTTGTTATTACTTAATAGGTTTCCCTGTTTTCCATATAACTCATGCACTTTAAATGGACTTCAAAGCACTAACAGTCATGCAAATGTTTATGCAAAATGAACGAAAAAGGAAAAATAAAGAGGAGGGGGAGGTTGTTTCTAAGCAGGGTCTAGGCTGTATGACAAACTGTGACTTAGCAGACTACGAGGCACAACATGCTATTCTGCAGTTAGTAACAAAAATCCTTAGAGCTTGTGTCAAACTTTAAAAGATTGATGGTTTGGGGTTAAGTGAATATAGTCAAAGGAAAAAAAAAAGCAAAACAGAATGGAACTGTGGCTGGATAAGAAGAGAACTGAAATATAGGCTGGAAGAGAAAGAACATTCCTCTGCATGCAGTTCAGTCTTCCTGGTTTAGAAATGTTTTAGGGAGTTTTAACCTCTTTACAAAATGCAAACCCTCAGGAAGTTGAAAAATCCTTGTTTTCTCTTTCTTAACTATACATTTTTTGTCAGAGCAAAACCAGAAAGGTAAAACATTCAAAATAAAGGAATTTGTCTGAATGTTTCAAGAGTCAAAAGGAACAAGTGTTAGTTTTTCTTCAGTAAGAGATGGAAGATCTTGCAACTGGATCAGTGGGCTAGGACCTTGCGTTTCGTTCCGTCTCAGCCAGGCATTCCCGGACTAACCCTCTAGCATGGATAATGCCTGCAAAAGAGTTGGACATATTTGGAATCAGCTCCTTCAGGTCACACTTGCAATGACAGTTCAGAGAAAAGTTTAGGTATTTCTGCCTCAAGTTGCCAAGGCCACCACAGCATTCCTCAGGAAAGGGAGAGATCCCTCACTTCCTGAACATCAGCTGCTGCTGAACAAGTTTTCAATATATAATGCCAGTTTGGGAAAGCAAAGGGACTAAACCAGGAATCAGAGCACAGTAAGATTTGTAGGTCTGCAGTGACAAGTGTATTTTGATGTGCAGGCCTATTTAAAATAAGAGACAATTAGGAAAAAAAAAAATATCACCTTATCTACCTGTGAGTTACTTTGCTACAGTGGAGTGAAAAAAATCCCAAAGTTACTTAGGAAGTGATTTTAGCAAGCTCTGAAAGTCTTAATACCTTGAGATAGTTCTCTGAGAGGATGCATAAAAATCCAAGCCTTTGGAATACTGCTTAAACACAAGTTGTGTCTCTTGTAAGAGTAAGAAATGTTTTTATGGTGTGTGCAAAAAGTTACCTCCCAACACTGGCTCAGCTCCCAGTGTAAATCATCACCACTTCACATGCTGCCCTATCCACTCTCATCTGACAGACGTAATGTGGAATTTTCCACTACAAGTCCTGTTGCCTGGAGTTCCAGAAATCTGGACCTTGATTGTTAATCCTAGAACTAAACCTAGATTCATGCTCACATTGCTGCTGAAAGCACAGAGCTTGAGGTGCATTTTGAAGTGAAAGTTGGACAGAATTTTCTACAAAAAATCAGGTGATACTATTCGGACAGGACAAGATAAGAGATTTGCTCAATCATGCTCCTTAACAAGGTGGAGGAAGGGCAACAAGGCAATAGATGAGGTTTAAACTCTATTTAGAGATAATGGATTCTGTTTCTAGTAAGCTGCTAGCCAAAATCATAGCAACAGCCTTTACATCCAAGGGGTACAGACCTGGGACATAATGGGTGCAAGGCTCTGCAAGGGGTTAAACTGACACGGACAAGTCAAGCTGCACACTCAAAGCACTGCATTAGACCTGGATTTGGAGGCAGGATGCCCAGTTTATGCAGCAGAACTACCCTGAATTATGTAGAACACTGGGAATTTGGCCAATTTTAGAGGTCAGCAGCCTCTGTGCTTAGCAATGGTGGAGCTGGGGACTGGGACTTTATTCAGGAAAAACTTCCACATGGCCATGGAAGCTGCAATCACATGGAGACCCTCAATCCCTTCTGCTCTCAAACTTGCACATGCTCCTTCAGCCATTAGGCTTCCAAAATGGAATGAAAGGTACGTTTGTGACCAAAAGATGGCAGCAAAAAGTACTTATTTGGGATTCTTTGCAACACTGGATCTTAAACCTACATTACCAACAACCTAAATACTCACTGCAGCAAAACAACTTTTCTTCACCAAACTGAACCATTCTCTTGAGAGAGCATCTGCATCTATCCAGTCCCTCTCAAGCTGTCCCCATTAGCCTATTGCCATTCATGATCTATTAATACTGACTCAGGCAATGCAATAAAGAGAGGCTCCAGCAACATTGATTTTAGCTGGGCCAGATTCCACTTACCACTCATCAGCAGACTTTATTGCATCCTTTCCCAGAACAGCTACTACTCATTTTATTGCATGTCATGGCAGATATATTACTCTCTCATAATGGCTGAGCCTTAAATAAAGCTTTGTAGTCTTGGGTAAATGTAAGGGGAATTTGCAAGGTGGTGAAGTTAGCCTGTTACAATAACATTCCTCTTCAGGGTTGAAGGCATGAGCCAAACTCAGCACAAGGACCAAGGTAAGGGAGAAAGAGGAAACTACATAATCCTGGCACAGGACAGAACTGCCAGCACAACTGTTGTCGATGGCCTTTCAGGGTCATTTCAGGAGCTGTAGCAGTGGAATGTCCCACTGCTCCTTCAGAAATATCCCTTGCACGTCCCCTGCAGGGGACAATGTCAAGCTGATGTCAGCAGTGGGGCACGCACGGGTTTCTTTTACACTGCAAGGAAAGGGCAGTTATTACCCCTTTTAGCTGACAAAGCAAAGCTAGGGAGACCTCATCACCCAGGCCTAAAAGCTTCTATCTCCCTTCCTAGTGGACTCCTAATGACATCTACTTGCCAAGAGGCAATGAAGCCTATGGAGCCCAACACTCCACAGAGAGGAGGAACAGGTATGTCTGACATCTCAGTCCAAACAGCCTTCCCTGACAACTTTTCTTTAATTTTGCTGCTCTTCTCTCCACCAGCCTTAGTGTGAATTACCACAAGGTGTTATTTCTTGCAGCAAAAAGCACTGCAGTAAAGACTCATGGGTCAAGTAGTTGGCTGATGTGTATGAGAAGAAGTAAACTATGCTTCATTGTATATTTTAGAGACTGGGGAGAAAAGGGAATTGAAGGGGCAAGGAAGTCACCAGGAACCTAGAAGAATATATCCACCTTAAAGGTTCTAAAATCAGGTTTGAATTGTGAACAGAAACTCCCTTTGTGCACATGAAACACATTTGGCCCCCGGTTTATCTATCAAACAGCACAACTCGAGAATCCCAAGGTTTCAGTTGCCTGTTACTACACCTGGTTTAGCAACGAGCTGAAGTCTCCTGCCAAAGGGAACAGTTGTCATGAAGCTGTATACAAGCAGTCAGTGCACAAAGTGTATGGGACATGGTTATTTTTTAAAATAAACTTAAACATTACCTCTTTTTAGTCTCTCCATGGCACTTTTGCTCCCAGCATAAGTGGGTCTAATCTCTTTTCCTAACTCTTCTATGATAGCTAGAAGTTCTGCGTATTTGCTCTGCGGTACTTGACTGCTGCTGGTACCCTGTGGTTCAAAGGAGATGAATCTCAATTAAATACTGCTCAAAACAAAACAAACAGAACAAACAGAAATTAAAAGAGAACCAGAAATAGCCCCAGAAGCCAATTCATACAAAAAAAAAAATAAATTTCAAGTTTATTTTATAAACATGATTTTCTTTTTGTGGTTGCTGCTACAGTTGGACACGATGCTCCATGTCCTTCAGAAATCAGGATCAACTGGCAGGATGCAGCTGCAAGGCTGGGACCTTGGGTGAGACAGAATTTAAAACAGTCCTGCAAGAACAGCAAACTGAGAACTTCTTCTAACCCTCTCCCTGCTATATCCATGCTTAGGTGTGTATTCTGTGGAGCAGTTAGGTAGGCAGGGAGAGTGAGAAGTAGATAAAACTGCCCATGTGATAAGGGAAACCCTATTAAGTCAAATATGTTTCACAGGAAGTTTACCACTGGATTCCTGAACCTGCCCATAGGACACACACTTCCTGAGACTTAAATTTTAAGAGTATAAATTTGACAACGAAAAACACGATAGGAATTATCCTTTTTTAACAGATAACTTTAAAATATGCTAGAGCCCTCACTATCAGAACATAACTCAAGACATGTTTCACTGTGACTCAGAAGGGATGGGACTAACAGTTAATTAGTAACCAATCTCACTCAGCACTCTGCTTAGTCTAATTTGATCCCAAGACATGTGTGATGAATCAGTCTGCCATTTGGGTTTGATTTCACCTCTTGGTGGGAGGGAGGAACACCTCAGATTACAGGCCACAATCCATGCTACTGTGCAAACCCAGGGTCAGTGATCTGATTAAAGAAACACAAGCAGAGCTGTACCTGCATCCCTTGTGTGTAGCCTAGAGAGGGGGGCCCGTAGTCATTTATAAGTTGTCTATACTGCGCAGACGTTGCCATACTTGTGGAGGGAGAGTGAACACTCCCAGCTGTAAAGAGAAAAGCAAACAAACAATCTGTTATTATCTAAAGATTAATTAGTCTGTTACACTGGGACACACTTTAGGTGCCCTTTTTCTAAAGCTGTGACTGCTCACTCTTGTCTAAGCCCACCTCATGCCATTTCAGAGTTACACTATTTGCCAGGAAGGGAATGGTTAAATGAAAGCTTCCCTAAGGTTTGCTGTACATTCCAGAGCAGCACAGAAATCTGCAACATTACCAGTGCTCATGGTTTGCCTAAAAGTGAAACACTGTAACATGACAGGTTGTTCTGCCTAGACAAACTGTAAATATTAAGGAGCCCTATTTTTGCATATATACATTCCACACGGATGAGTCTAATGTGCTGTGCTATTTTTACCTTTTCAGTGCAAGTTATCTGAAAGTAATTTTGCAACTCAAAGTGTCATCACATGGTCCATGCAAGTTACCCTCAGTACTATTTTCAGCCAATGCCAAAACTATTCACAGGGAACAGTTGGTTGAGATGTATCAGATCTGCTGCTCGCTGTATCACACTGGAGGTGAGGAGTGCAACCATTACCCCTCTCTGTGTGATACCAACGTTTTTTAGCCAGTAAAATCGTTCTATGTAAGCAAACACAAGGTAAAATAACATCACTCACTTTTTCCAAAGCTATAAAAGATTTCATTCAGACTTACAGGGTCTGCAGACAGCTAGGAAGCACAGAATCAGACTCCAATGTGATCACTGACAAACTTTTCCTCCCCCTCTCACCACAACGGTTAAGAATTTGGGTTTGAAAAACAACTTTCAGGTTTTACTTAGGGGGTTAATTATGCCACCCATTTCACAAGAGTGTTGGAAGACCTGCTGGTTCTGAACTGCATGCTCAGGACTTGGGGAGCATTACACCATTCCACGTGTTCACTCTTGCAGCTGGAGTGCCCCTGCACCCACTGATGCTGCTGTTGCTGCCCATGGGCACAGACACAGACTGCCTGCTGTCTAGAAAAACCTTTCTCTTTACAAACTCCCTTGCTGAAAATTCCCAACTGTCTTTCCTATGAGGAACCATTTACCAGCCTTCATTTAAATCCAAATTAAACTGCTGCTAAAAGTCACTGGGGCTCAGAACTATGTAAATCTCTAGATTTGTTTTCAAGTTGCAAGTGATTTCATTCATATTTTCTCCTCACTACAAAAAGAAAGAGCCAGCAGTTGTGCTGTAAATAGCACTGCTGGACACAGTGGAACTGACTCTTCAGTTAGGAACTCTCTTTCCACTTCAGAATCATTCAGAGAATATCACTGTGGTGTTGTCTTCATTATAAGAAGAGAGTATGTTCCTTATTTTAGCTAGTTAACTGGATGTAAAATCCTAACAAAGGTAAATGGGGCTGGTCACTAGGTCACCTTAAAAAGAAACAAGGCTTCTCTTAAGTCTTCAACGGAGCTGCCACATTTCCTGGCATTACACTCTGCATTTCTATCACTAAGGTTTCACATGGAGCTTCCTGTCACATTTTGGTAAAACACAGTAAAACCCCCCAAAATGAAACAACACACCCACAGAGCATGGCACCCTGAGGAAACACCACAGCTGTCAGATATTCTCTCAATGAGTTATTCTCATTATCAGCCCAAAATACAGACACAATGGTAAGATTTCTCTATGTACAATTCAGCCAATATTTCAAGTCCAGATGACTGAATTTCAACAGTTACCAACATGACATGACACAACAGCAAACTGCATCCTTCCTCCTGGGACTTAAAAATGCTTCAAACCCATTAATGAGCCCCTTGTCTTGCAAGGTAAGAAGGTTTAATTACCTCAAATTAAGCAGAGAAAGACTTGAGCGATTTTTCCCTCGTGTACAATGAAACAAAAGAACCAACCTGCAAATACTTGTTCCTGAACTGTTGGTGCAAGGAATCACACACAGACCTGGGAGCTCCAAACTGGTCCAGAATGTAGGTGAGGGCTCTGGATGCCCAGGCTGAGGAACCAGCTCTGCCCTCTGAGCAAACCCGAGCTGCAGCCCATACAAAACCAAACCCAGTTTATCACCCCCAGACCGGTTAACGGCAGCACAGATAGTTTAGCAATTGTTTCAGCTGATGTTGATTTAAGCAGTGACACGTGCTCGATCTGTACGAGCTCCCACAGCAGGGTATGGCCTGCAGGAGAAAGCGACCCTGGGAGAAACGTGCCAAAAACCAAAGCAGCGAACCCGGGGGCCGAGCGGGAAAGTTTGGCGGCTGTTGCGGCGCAGGACGCGCTCGGCACGGGAGCCCCGTGGGGACTCAGTCAACACTGCCCAGCCAAAAAACCAACTGGAACTTTTCCGTATGTGAGGAAGAACGTGCGGCCGAGCCGGGAGCCCGGGCAGGAGCCGCAGGACCAGAGGCCTCGCTGGGAGCGCTGGCCCTGCCGCTGACAGAGCCGTAACCATGGCGAGGTTACCCGTTTC